ATGCTAATAAAGAGTTTGATAAAATGACTAAATTAAAACACGCATAATGTGTTCTAGATTTGAAATGGGATGTAAGATTACATTGACACTTAAAAGTAAAAGGTGTTTTGTCTACTAGAAGTGTTGTTTAATTTTTGAAAAAATTGTCACAGTCTAAAATGATATTAATTTTTGACAAGCACTTCCCCCGTTGGGTACCCGTGGGTCTAGCGGGTCGGGGCGGGGATGGGGGAGTGAACCCCCGCCCCAACCCTGCCCCATTGTCATCCCTAAGTGTAAGTGACCATCTACATTACAGATTTTTTTTACTATGTTATCTCCATTCTTTTAAATGATACGAAAAACATATATCTATTATCGGATTTCATACAACACATACATCTAACTTGAACAAGAAATTTCCTACATTTATTTTCTAACGAGAATCTTCAATTCAATCTTGTAATTAACTCAAATATATAGTTGAATTTTTTTTAAAAGATAATAAGGAAACCACATAAACAAGGACAGAACTGTTCTATTACATAAACATATATGCACATGAACGATGATAATTAAGTTAATTTATAAACTAAATATGATTACATATATATAACTTTAATTATAAAAAAAATTAAGAATTCTAACCTCACATGTCGAGTTCGTCCTTGTTGAAAAGAATAGCTAGGTGAGTTGAGATATGAGCCTGAGGATAAGGAGGGTGTGGAGTTAGGATGGGTTGGTAGGAGCATTTAATTTTTTGAATTAGTGGCGGATATTAGTGGGAATAATTTCCGTCATTATTTAGTTACGGTTTTTACTGGGGGGAAATGTCCGCCACTAAATAGCGACGGATACAACATTCCCATTAAATTCCGACACTAAATGCCGTTGAACAAAACTCCGTCGCAGAAATCCGCCACTAAATTGCGAAATTCTTGTAGTGAAAATGTTTTCCCAAAACGTTGATATTTGCTTGCAGACTTGCAGTGCTTTAATTTCAACGATTTTGTTCAATAATGCCATGGTCGAGCAACTATTTGTCAAACAACAATACCATTTTCCAAATGCCCTTATAAAAATGATATACGGAGTAGTTAATTATCAATTATCATTATTGTTTACGTATTAATTTATGTGCTTAATTAACAACTTAAAAGAAGTCTCTAGTATAAACTGTTGATACTGTGTGTAGTTCTTACACATGCAGTTATACTCCGATCCGTTTGATCTTTGAAATATATATATATATATAAAGATCAAGTACAAAGTGTGCTTATTGTGCAAATATTGTACAAAGTCTCTATTATATATATATAATATATATATATAGGGAAGAGATCACATACAAATCATGTTTCCCATACAAAATGCAAACTCATCTTGTACGTTTAAATTGGGCAAATCAATGGCTATCCATCTATTAACCCCCCGTAGCATTCAATGAGGTGAAATGCATGGAACTAAAACGGTTTGGATAATTGAGATGCACGATTAGTAAGCAAGGACAACAAAGTAAATTAACATTTTTTTTAAAAATGAGCCGCATAGTCTCTTATGGAAAGAAATCCCAAAAAATCAAGTAACCCACCATTAATTAAAAGATCAACCACCCATTTATGTTTAGCAAATTTAAAAACAGAAACATACGAAGTTGTATGCAACTACTAAATTTCAACCACCCATTTGGCATGTGCATAGATTAACATCTGAGTTTTTAGCCATCCTATCACGAATTAATGTTGCAATAGCATATCCAATTATTCTTTATTTTGGGAATTATTCACTTATCACTTTTCAAGAATTGTTCAAAACTTTCACAAAAAGTAAAGGGACATTTATATACTTGACTTTAGGAATTATTCACTTCCTAATTAATCTTTCATTTTTGAAACCTAAAATATTAAGGCAATGGAAGGTGCATTATATATTAATAACGTGTGCATAATTTAGAAACTTCTAACATGTTAAGTTTGTAAGATGTCAACACAGGTAGAAGCGTGCACATTAAGGTTACATGATGTGCATATTAAGGTTAGTGGATGTGCATATTAAGGTTACGAGATATGCATTTTATATTTATAATGTCTCTATAACGTAACTTATATGAGAACTATGTAGTGATAAAATATGTTGACATTCCATTTTAGTAATTCATATATTGCATTTTATCATTATGACATATGCATTTTGGAAGTTCATATATTGCACTTTAGTAAGATGATATGTGCACTTTAGAAGTTCATATTGCATCTTATCGCTATCGCATCTGCATTTTAGTATCTCATATGTTGCATTTTTATCATTATGGCGTGACATTTTAGAATATCGTATGTTGCATTGTAGAAGACAATTTGCTGCATCTTACCGTTATGAAATCTGCATTGTGCACTCAACCAACATGCATACGAAATTCAGGGTAATGTACAAGAAACATCTTCTAAATGGTAAGATTTTGCATGCTAAAAAAGGTAAAATTTTGCATACTAAAATCAAATGAAAACTACATAAATACGAAATTGTTGAATTGGTGTACAAACGAATACCATAAAAAAAATAAAGACATCCAGCATGTACAACGAACTCCATGGCGATGCCGGAATCCATGGCGTTCAAATAGAAGAAAACCAATTAGATTCTATTAAATTTGAGGAGATGGAGATGGCGTTAGGCATAGAGATGGAGATGAAAATTGAGATGAAGAAGAGATGTGTATGCTGCAAAGAGAAGATGGGGGGAGGAGATACATATGTTGAAGAGAGAATATGGAAAGATCGTGAGTTTTTTTCTTCCCAAAATTAATACAAACCAAAAAGACTTTAAAGTCCCTCAACTTCTCAAATTAAATTGTCGTATCATATATTCAACGCATAGGAGATCAAAGGAAATGGATGGCCCTGATTAGTTTGCACTTTGTAAATTAAGAGGAGTTTGTATATGATCCTTAATCTATATATATATATATATATATATATATATATATATATATATATATATATATATATATATATATATATATATATAGGGATGAGTTCAAATGAGAAGACATCTTAACATGTAAAATGAGAATTAATATCAGCCGTCCAAAGTGTCGATCTCATTATTTTTACTCATAATGAGTTACGAGACCCATAATATATCAAATTGAAGGTATTTCAGAGCTCTACATTCTTGAAATTTCAGCGGGGTCGGTTGACCACCCTGACCCCCCTTGGCTCCGCCCCTAAGAAATTGAAATTTTTTAATTTTTAAATCGTTAACAGACCCAACCATGGTTAAATGAGTCTCTTAGGTATGTTTTGGAAGTTTGGAGGGAAAAGGAGGGGAAGACTTTGAAGGTAAGTTGTTGGAGGGGAAAATGAGAAAACATTTCTTCTTATTTGAGAGTGATAAATTTGGAAAAAGAGTCTTAGAAGGAATTATAATAAAAATCACATATGAGATATGAATTTAAATTGTTGAACTGACATTCATTTTCAATTGAGTTAAAAGTATCATTTAGTTAGTTATCCTTCAAAAAGATCCATTTTGGATGAACTAAAAAATTGAGCATTTAACAGGTTTTGGAAGGTGATAAAAACCTTCCAAATTCATTAATCCCCATTTTTAAACTCAAAGGAGAATCAATCACCAAACTTCATATGTCTTCCCCTCTCAAAGAAGTCCCTTAGTTTTTATTCATTTTAGTGATGACATCTATATGCAGACAATAATTGAAACTTGAAAGGATAAAATCTACCTCCTTCTAGTTCTACATGAGTGGGAAAAGGACAGAAAGGAATGATGCAAAACCAAAACCAAAACCAAAAAGCAATTGCCTCATACCTATTACCCGTTTCTGCGTGATTGCGACAGTGCTAGCTATTATCCGGGTAATGTGGTTTCTCATTTTAACTGGAGGAGTGCGGTGCAATTGTGGAATTGGATATAATTCTCATCTCAGCTCGATGCATTGTACGTCTATGTGTTAATGATTAATTTGAGCTGAAATAATTAAAGTCTCTTTAATACACTCTTCATCTCGAAATAATATAATTGTATTCTTTACTTTAACACAAATGATGAAGTATATGGTCTACGATCCCGTCTACATACTCCTGCCATCTCAACAGGTGCAACAACTACAACAAGCCTAAGTACAACAACCAGACACCCCTCGGTCCCAAGCTCGAGGGCCTTAGATTATAGCTTCCCACTACGATTCGCCTCTACAAGAAAACTGGATCATTTGCGCCTTCAGCTGAGCCCTCGATAAATAGCCTTCAGAGTCGAGTGTGAAGCTCTCGCCCTCGGCACAAAAGACATTCCGCCTGACGTTACTCAGCCTCCAATTAGCGCATTTTATAATGTTTGTGCACAAACAATTGATTTTAATTTTAGTTTTAGTATAGGTAATTACACTTAGGCGTGTTATCCACCCTAGACAAGTAGAACGATTGTAGTATAAAAGGTGAAAGTGGGACCAAGGAGTAGAAAGTATTCCTATGGACTATGGTTGTACGTGGATGCACACGTAGTGGTGACTAGTGTCTTATGTGTACTATCAACCGGTTTCTCCCCTACCCAAGTCTACCCCTTTTTAATGCATGCCCTACATATACGGTAGTACGTGTGTATATTCCATCACTAAGCTGTTTTTATACTCTACAGTAATAATCAGCTTAACAATTAATCAAGATCCATTAATTCCCCATAAATGAATGGCACACCATGACTGAAAACACGAATGAATATCTCCCATATCCAAGACTTAGGAAAAGTGAGACCAGATATCTCAATCCCATAATTAATTAATTATTTGGTGCTGGAAAAAATTGGCCTCTTTTTACTTTTTCAACACATTTTGTCTTTCTGTCATACAACTTTCATCCACTTTCACTCCATAGTACTTTCCATCCATGCAAACGTAACTACGTGGAAGCTCCCTACATCTCTTTTTACGTACTATCCAATTCATATATAAATGCCCACACATGCACACATGATTTATATCTATATTTTTTATATTCAAGAAAAAGCCAAAAAAAAGATCAAGATCAAATTTTTAAAGATGGAAGAACCATGCAGCAACGATGAGCAATCCTACAAAGGAGTGAGGAAACGGAAATGGGGGAAATGGGTGTCGGAGATCCGGGAGCCGGGGACGAAAACGAGGATATGGTTGGGGAGCTACGACACGCCGGAGATGGCGGCGGCGGCCTACGATGTGGCGGCTTTCCACTTCAAGGGGCGGCACGTGCGGCTCAACTTCCCGGAGCTCGTGGAGGGTTTTCCACAGCCGGCCAGCTCTCGGCCCGAGGACGTCAGGCTGGCGGCTCATGAGGCGGCGATGAGGTTCAAGGTGGCGCCGGCGGAGGATGCGGCGGCGGCGGGCGTGCCTGCCGGTTTGGGCTCGATTAGGGTTGGGCTGTCAGCAAGTGAGATAGAAGCGATAAATGAGACGCCAATGGATTCACCCAGCCAGATGTGGATGGAAGTTGGACTAATAATGAATCCAAATGATGATGATTGGGTGGAGATGCAAAGTCATTCCATTTGGGATTATTGATCTTACTTCTTTTGCAACTCTTATATTCTTTATTTTTTTTAATAATTTCGAGTGAACTTATAATTAATTGTGCATGTTTAAGGACATAAATACTGGTAGTGCATACATTGATACATAAACAAGAACATAAAATGTACGAAGTATTCCAGTTGATATATTTGATAAGACGATATGTGTTACACTCTAAACTACACATTCACTTAAAATACTTTCTAATTTTATTTTAGACTTGGTATAAACCGTATAATTTTATAGAAATGGCTCAACATAAGTCCAAAACATATACAACTCTAAAATTAAATGAGACCAAGTATGCTTTCTTCGTAAAATAAGACTTATGGAGGGTAGACTAATAAAAGTTTCCATTCCCGGTGACAACTCCGGTACCTTTCTAAAATATGGGGTACCGTACCTACTATTCATATGATTGGACCACATCACTAATCATTTTTAATTTAGATTTAAATAATTCAACTGTTACATTCTCATTGGTTCACGTGGACAAAGATATGGTACCTTATGGGTACCATAGAATCTACCTTCCCTAAATAGGAGTGCATGAATTGAGGGGCGTAACTAGGAGGCATCCTACCCCCAATCCACCTCAAATTAAATTTTATTTAAATTATTAGCGTAAATTATACCTCCCCGATTATTCCCGTGCATGAATATATTTTGGAACGAAAACAAAGTAACTCCTACTCCTATTTGAGATTTTCTTAATGTTTTAGTTTTGTTTAGAGAATTTTCTTATAATTTTACAATTATGTAACTATGTGTAACTGATGCGTTTTAATTGCTAATATTATGTATAATATATAAAAAAGACTTGAGTTTATTTCATTTTCACTACAAAAAAAATAACGTGATGGGTAAGGATTCACTAAAATTAATAGAGAATTTGGCACAAATACACCAAATATGTGCCAACGGCATTTTGTCATTAACTATTTGACATGGAATCATCGATCAATCCATACAAAATCTGTGTCAATTTCATTAAATTTTTTGTGTGTCCGCGAATACATATCACACCCATTCGTCACATAGTATATATATATATATATATTTGAACCTCTCAGTTTTAATTATGAGTTTGACTCTCAGATTAGAAAATACGATAGTACATATTTCGACCATTGATTTATTAAGATATTTATATACAAAGTATATACATTTTAACTTCAAATAAAAGTTGACATAAGATTTTTTAACAATCTTTACACAATCCGATTTATCTTGTACTCTACTAAAAGAGATGGTCAACGTAAGATGAGTACACAGCATAAAAGTCAACATGTATGAGTGCACAGCATAAAAGTCAACATGTACTTTGACATGGAAATGGATGAAGTATACGAGTATATAAAATCGAAGGGAGAAAGTATACTGTACGGCTCTAGGCCTCTAGGCGTCTAGCTATTGTCACTTTTTGTTCGTATGCGTAGATCGACACGCACAGTGTGAAACTTTCTGTTCGTGCAACTCGATCCTTGAATAAAAGTCACTTTTACACGTCTTCAAACTTGTGTTCATAGTTATTTAGTCTCTCCCGCTATGATTGTCCCATTTTATCTTTTCAGTCTGTCCATTAAGATTATCTCATACGTAGACACGCATTATCAAATTTGGTAAAGTTTGTGTGACTCTAAATCATTCTTACTTTATTCTTACTTTATCAATTCAATATCAATCACATAAATCACTTTTTATTAATTTGTGTGACACTCCCTCTTGTCACATTGTTAGGGGGCGGAGGGAGTAACATTTTAAAGCGTATGTATAGAGTCCTTTTTCTGGTCGGGGAGCTCCGTACGGACTTGTCCATTTGAAGGTCTTTTCTGGTGGAATTTTTTGATAAATTTTTTTGAGCATGTTCCTCATCAAGTCTAGTTTATGCATAACAAATTTCAACTCATTTTACATGTCTTACCTTTCTTATTGATTTGTCCCCAAATCAGTGTCATATTTCATTTTTTGAAAAAAAAAATGTGGTCTACAACATTTCACTTTATTATATTCAAATCGCAATCATGATTTTGTACTTTTGCAACCATTTTACTAATAATTGTGTCAAACCAAAATATAAGAATGACACATAAAATGAGACGGAGGTAATACTACATCTGATTCAATCTAATGTTAATTACATCTTCATAAATGCTTTCAACAACAACATCCAAGCCTTAGTCACAAAAGATATTGGGATCGGCTAACATGAATCGATACATGATATCACCACCAAAAGGAAAAGAAAGAAAATAAAGATAAAAACTAAGTTATTATAAAAAAAGATAATATAAAACCAGATGAATATACCTAAAAATGGTATCAACATAACAAACGTGTACACAAAACGTGTACCTCTAACAAGACCCTTCATAATTATGCTTCTGGGCGGGAAATTTCCCTCCAATAATAGTAGCAACTTTGCTAGTTTATATATATTATATAAAGATAAAATTTCTTACGTACTAATAAAGTGCCTATTTGGTTGGTTGGTTGGTTGTTATAAAGAATTTTTTGATAACTTTTACACATTTTTTTGGGCTAGGCTGAGTTTAGATTGGCCCCTTGCTGCGCCCCTGCCTTCCTTATTGATATTCCCTCCGTCCCATTTATATTGTCCCGTTTTACCTTTTCGGGAAGTCCCACTTAAATTGTCTCATACTCCTTCCGTCCCGCTATGATTGTCCCATTTTACCATTTCGGTCCGTCCCACTAAGATTGTCTCATACCTTATTTGGTAAAGTTTGTGTGGTTCTAAATCATTCCTACTTTATTCTTACTTTATCAATTCAATATCAACCACATAAACCCACTTTTATTAATAACCGTGCCACCTTCTCTTGTCCCAAACTTAGGGGGACGGAGGTAGTACCATATTTGGCAAAGTTTGTGTGACTATAAATCATTCTTACTTTATCAATTAATATCAAACACACAAACTCACTTTTCTTAATAACCGTGTCACATTCTTCCGTCTCAAATATAAATGGGACGGGGTAATATTTTATACGGAGTAAGAACATTACTTCGTATTAGCCTGTACTCCCCTCGTGCTATGTAAAGGCTTTAAGATTTGCAAATCATTTGCCCTAATTTCCAGTTCAAAACCCCAAATTCCTGCTGCTAGTCAACCGACAACAATGTCGGACATCCCTTTGGAAGTCGTCGCCGACTTTTTATCCCGAGTCCCGGCAATGTCTCTGCTACGATTCAGGTGCGTATCAAAGCAATGGCGTTCGATTATCGACAGTCCAGAGTTCATCAAAATGCATCTGAACCGGACGCTCTACACGAAATCTGACCGTAAGCTCATTCTCCGCTCCTGTTATCTGTACTCAGCGGACTTCGATGGACTGGATAACACTAACGTAGCCCATTACGTGAAACTTGAGCATCCATGTAAGCCCCGGGAAGTAGGAACTGTGTTTGTTGGGTCTTGTCACGGACTACTCTGTTTGGACGGTGGGGTTGAAGATAAATGTATTCTACTGTGGAACCCTACAACCAGAAAACATTTTAGATTACCTCCCTCAAAGTTCGAACGTCCTATGGAATCTTTCTGTAAGAGGACAATGGTTTTCGGATTCGGGTACGATAAAGCTAGTGACGATTATAAGGTGTTGAGAATACTACAGTCTTATTACATGGATAGTGAAGTGCAAGTGTTTAGTATGAAATCTAAAGCTTGGAGGACAATAGCTAATTTTCCTTACTATCTGAAATATCAAAGCGCCCCTGGAGTGTTGGTATCAGGTTCTTTGCATTGGGTTGTAACAAAAGACCCTGACACTTTTATGGTTAATTTGATTGGTGCTTTTGATCTTGAGACTGAAGAGTATAGGTTGGTTCCTCAACCGGACTACCCTAAAAAGAAGAGCAAGAATTTTCATTTGAATGTGGTGGTTTTGGATGGATCACTTTGTGGCTTATGCAATTATTATGACCACGAGTACGTTGATGTTTGGGTGATGAAGAAATATCGGGTGAAAGAGTCATGGACCAAGTTGTTTAAGGTTGCAGAATCTGATACCCGTATCAAGCCTTTTCATTATGTTACACCTGTAGCATTTTCCCGGAGTGGCAAGAGGGTATACATGGTGCAGAATGATAAAATGCCTCTTTGGTATGATTTGGAAAAGAAAAAAGTTATTCCTACAAAATATCGCATCTCTGACCCTCCTAGTTATATGGAGCATCAAATGTGTTTTGGAAGTCTGGTTCAACTTGATGGTGGAATTAGTGGTATGCTTGAGAGGGTTCAAGATACAAAGGAAGAAGTGATAGGTAGTAGCAAAGGAACCAAAAAAAATGGAAATAATAAGAAGAGGTATGTATGCTAATTCATTGTTTTCACCCCTGTCGTTAGCTTTTCCTTAATTGTCTGCTAATAAGTTTTCATTCATGCAGAGATAACTTCCTGTCAGTGGGCTTCAAGTTGGTTCTTTAATCAACTCAAGCTGTTTGCAATTAATGGTATGGTTAAATAGACCCTTTTGCTAGTTGGCTTTAACTTTTTGATCTCTTGTAGTTGATGTGAACCAATGATTACTTCAAAATAATAATAATAGTAAAGTTTTACCCTAATGTCCTTACCGTTCCAACTTTGGTACCAAGAAACAATGAGAGTACTATGGATTAAAATACTCTGTAGTTTATATTTGTCTTCTCTCATAAGACTGATATTGTAAAACAGTCTTCTAGTTAAGGGTGGACTTATGGGTACTTTGTAGTTGTTTTGCCCAATTATTGTGCCAGACATTAAATAAAGGAACCGGAATCAGAACCGGATCTGCCAGTTCCGATCCCCCTTAGTCCAGAATATTATACCTGCAGTTTAGTTCTATCATTTTAGGTTCCAAACGTCCAATTGCGATTTTTAAACATTGAGACTTCAGATCACTGAAGTTTAATTAATGTATGAACTTTAGGAAATATTACACTTATTGGAATACTCTTGCTCTTTTTGCCAAAGAAAATTAAAATGTCGTAGATTGATAAAGTTGCCTTTGAATCTGATTTTGTAAAATTTTATAAATATATAGGTAAAAAGTGTGGCATTGTACCGATGCCAAAAACTACAGTACCAAACCAATATACCATACCTGAAGTTTGGCTTATCGAAATTCCAGTACATCATTTGTAGCTGTTTTGCAAAAACACCCTTAATTTGGTTCGTATGCAGTATTGAAATTTTGGTCTTGTATACCTACATACCCACCCCTAATTCTAATCGCCGGAACTTGTGACAGTTTGGAGATATGACTGCTTTAATTCGTAGTATAACAAGTTTAAAGAAACTTTCTTTGCCAAATGCTAATTTAAAATGTTCAAGAGATATTTCCATATTGGATGATTATTTTAAGAAAGTGTAAACTTGAGCACATTGTACATGAAAAGGTGCTATCACCCGCCGACTTAAGTTATACTACATATATGTTATGAATTTAATTTGTTTCTCTTGGTTATACTTTTAATAAATTTTGTCTGTCCATATACTTCTGAAACAAGAGTTTGCTAAATCATGATTATATGCACAGGGTCAGCCACGGACTAGGCGCTTAATGGCAAGGATGGAGGGTTCAAGTATTTTTTTGGAACTAGTAACTAGGAACACAACATTTTAAGTAGGAAACTAGCTAAGAACGTGGTGATGTATGACCAAAATCTTGAATACTTGTGATTTCTTGTTTCATGTAGTCTATATTTTTAACTTGCCCCTTCCGTTCTTCTTATTGTTTTGTGAATATGGAAGTATATAGTTATACTCGACAAATGTGCATGTCTTCACTCTTCGAGGTCATATTATGCACCAAACGAAAAGAGTGCAATAAGAAAAAGGAGACACGCATGGTGAGTTAAAAAAAATAGAAATTGCCCTATATTGTAGTAAAAACGTTTTGAAATTCCAAAATAGGATTATCATGTTTTTTATTCTTTGAATAAGTAATCTGCCAAGTTTGGGAATAGTCACGATAGTAATCTGCCAAGTTTGGGATTAATTCCTAGTAATGTCACGATAGTCCTATTTCGAAATGTATTAGGGAATTCTCTCTTTAAAAAATTTAAAGACATGCATGCCAAGATATTATTATTTTGAAATTTCAAAATATTTTTACTCTTATTTAGGGAATTCTCTCTTTAAAAAATGCACTGCGAAGACTTTTGGTATCACGTTTCCTTGCAATCGGGTAAATTGATGCATCAATTAGTACCTTTTTAGGAGTTGGGTAAGAAAGCAATAGATTGCATGCATATGGTTTGCCATGGTTCTTCCGCTAGATGTCTAGTTGGGTACTGATGTAGTACTTACGCATGGATCTGCTTCGAAACCGGGAATGGTACTGTTTGGCCTAGACTGAGTTCATTTTTTTGGGTATCGGGCCTAGGAGTGGCTCTGTCCACCCAAGAGGGGTACCAAATCCCGGTTCACTGATTTGGGGACTAACCCAAGCAATCCCGGTCCAGGTTTAGATTCCTGACCATTTTTTTAGCCTTGGAACCGGTCAAAAAAAATTAAATAATAGAATCGGGTCCCGAACCAATCAGGTTCCTGGAACCGGCCCACACTCAGAACTAAGCGGCCAAGCGGGTCAGACCCGAGCTTCTTCAAGTTTTTGCAAAGACTGGGCGGTCTCAACCCTGAACCGAGGGTTCGGGACTGGACCGACCCGGGTCCATGACTAGTAGTACCTATTCTTGGATAGTTGGATTATTCATCCAATACCATGAACTAGGCGTGGACCCGGTTCGGGCCGCCCGGCCCGGGACCGGCCCGGCCCGTCACTGTGCGGGCCCGGAACCGGCCCGGTTCTCGGGTCCGGGTCCGGTTCGGGCATAGACCCGGTCGGGTAAGCGGGACCGGGCTCGGGTCCTGGTTTTGGAGGCCCGGCCCGGCCGGGTCGGGCCCGGGCCCGGGCCTAACGGTCAACTATTTAAAAAAAAAAAATTTTTTTTTTGGATTCTTTTGGCTCAAACGGCTACCCCAAACGGCTATATAGCCGTTGGGTGTACCAGGGGGGGTCAGGGGGGTTTGGGTGGGGGGTGGGGTGGGGGGTGGGGGTGGGGGGTGGGGGTTAAAAAAAAAAACCTATAAATACTCCTAATTTTAAACATTTTTTCACACCTCTTCTCCAACTCTTCTAAATCCTACTCTCTACTCATCTCCATTCTCCAATTCTCCATATTCATCTTCTCTAATTCTCTTATTCTCCTTTATATTTTATTTTACTATTTAATACTTATACAATTATTATATCTACTTATATATTAATTATCTACTTATATATATTATTATCTACATATACTATATTGCTTATATTTCTTATCTACTTAATTTCTACTTATATCTCTTAATACATACATACATACTATATCTACTTAATATATACTTTATATAATAAAGTATTAAATATACTTTATAAACTATTATTATATACTTAATACATAATAATATCTACTTCTCTACTTATATTTTATATATACTTATTTTCCAATCTCCAATTCTCCATTATACTCTAATATTTAATTCTTATACAATTATTATATCCACTTAATACATACATTCTACATCTACTTAATATATATTTATATATTAAAGTATAAAATATAAGTGTATTACTCATCGTATAGTATAGTATACTTATATATTATATAATATAAACATTATATTATATATTACTTACTATAACTAGTATTATACTAGTTAATTAGTTAATTAGCATTCTTGTTACATTTTTCATTATACTAGTTAATTACTTAATTAGCATTCTTGTTACATTTTTCATTATACTAGTTAATTAGTTCAATACCATTCTTGTTACATTTTTCATTATACTAGTTAATTAGTTCAATACTTCAATACCATTCTTGTTACATTTTTCATTATACTAATTAAAATACTTCACATTTTATTTAACTAGTTGTTAGTTTGTTACATTTGTCACTATACTAGTTAACTACTTAATTAGCATTGTTGTTACATTTTTACTTGTACTAGTTATTTACTTCAAAAGTTGCTATAATTTTAATTGTAGAGACACACATTAATTATACTTTGCAAAAAAATAGTTTGAAGTATTAATTAAAATAGTTTTAATTAGTTGCATTAGTTTTGTATCCATTATTATATTTGTTGTGAATTAATATTTGTTACATTTTTTAGATGGAAGGTGGTAGATATTCGGTTGATTTGGGTAACCTCCAACGCAATCGAAGAAACGAGATTGGGAGGAAGAAATCCCGCAAAGGTAAAGAACTTGCCGGGTCTTCATCTCAAAGCCAAGATGATTTTGAAACGGGTTACCAAAGGCGAGATGGAGATGCGATGTCCGAAGAACAACTCCAACAAGAATTGGCCCGACATAATAACCGCTTTCTACAACAACAACAAATGCCGACGACCATTGACGAAGAGGAGCTTGAGGATGAAGATGCGGAGGAATTGGAACCGGAGACGGCCGAGGAGGAGGGTGCCGGCAGCCACGACGCCGACGCGCCTGCCTCATCCCAAACCGCCACCGGTAATAAAAAAAGTAAGTCTGAACTAATGAAAAATAATTTTGATAAATGGAAGGACCCACAAACCGGCTATTGGCACGCAACTTGCAAGTGGTGCAACAACAATTATAGTTTGGGAACCTCCGGCGGATACGGATCCGCCGCAAGGCATCTTAAGGCAAAGCACCCCGTGGAGTATGCAAAATTAGGCGGCGGAACGGGGAAGCAAACTCAAATATCGAGGTTTGCGAATTCTCAACCTTTTGGTAATTTCTCCTTCAATGATGCACAAAATTTGACTGGTATGGCTAACTTAATTTGTGAAGAAAATCTGCCTTATTTGTTTTCTGAAAGTCTTGCTTTAAGAGATTATGCACAAGGTAGTTTAAATCCTCAATTTAGAAATTATAGTCGCAAAACTGTTAAGAAAGAAATAATAAGGCTTTATAATGCGGAAAAGGTAAGGTTACAAAATTTTTTTGCAAACTTTGATGGGCGTGTTACTATTTGTTCTGACATATGGGAGGATGATTTTCATCATTTATATTATTTGGGTCTGACTGCACATTATATTGATGAGGATTGGAATATGCATAAACGTGTTCTTGCTTTTCGTGAATTTAATGATCGTCACACCGCTGAACATATTTATATTTTGATTGAGCGTATTTTAATTGAGTATAATTTGATTGATAAGGTGTTTGCTATTGGTTTCGATAATGCTACTAATAATACTGCTGCTATACCTAGATTGCGTGAGTTGTGTGGTGCCAATTCTTTGATGGGTAGATTTTTTCATCAACGGTGTGCATGTCATGTTATAAATTTATGTGTGCAAGACGGTTTAAAAGCGTTAGGAGATTCCATGGAGGTAATAAAGGGGGGGGTTAGACGTATTTGGGTAATGGTCAACTTAGATTAAAATGGCAAAGTTATTTGACTGAAAGAGGTGTGAGATATGTTGCTTTTCCTAAAGATTTGAGTATTCGTTGGAATAGTACTTATAAATTACTTAAAGTTGTTCTTAGATATAAAGAACATTTTCCTGCTTTTTTAAAAGAACATGATAACTATATTATAAACGCGGCTGAGATCGACACTTGCGAAAAAATTTGTAATGTTTTGATATATTTTTTTAATGCTACTGAAACTTTTAGTCATGTTTATAAACCTACCGCAAACCAATTTATTCCACAAGCTGTTAATCTCGCCGATGCTTTTAAAGAATTTCAAAATGCCGTTTTCGTTCATTATTTTTGTGATTATATGAAGGAAAAGTTTTTAAAATATTATGCGCATATTCCCCATATTTATGGTATTGCATTTATTCTCGATCCTCGTTATAGACTTGCTAATTTGGAAAGTTGTTTCAACTTCTATTATCTTGCGTTTTTCGGTGAATTTCCAATGTATGAGGATAACCCCATAGATCCGAAAACGGAATACAACGAGGTTAGTACTTTATTTTATGCCTTATTTAATGAGTTTCGTTCACAATATGGCAACGCTCCCCCTCCCCCGCCACGAACATCTTCATCTAAAGGAAAATCGATTTTTAAATCTGCATTTGGCAATCTTATGAAAAAAACTAAAACAACTCACGTCACTGAACAAAGCGCATTGAATGAGATTACTTTGTATTTAACATATGAAGTTGATTTTGAAGAAAATGATGACTTCGACGTTCTAGACTGGTGGAAGTCAAAAGAAAGAACGTTCCCGATTTTAGCACGGATGGCTAAGCAAGTACTATCAATGCCGGTTTCAACAGTTGCTGTGGAACAAGAATTTAGTTCGGCCGGCAACGTCCTAACGGCATCTAGATCGAGATTGAGCGCGGAGTCTCTTGAGACGCTTATATGCTACCACGATTGGTTGAAGGCCGCACGTAGAACTCAAGAATTGAGCATCACCCCCTCCCAAGATTTTATGGATGACTCAACAACCGATGGTGGCTCTACCTATGCCGGAGATTCCGATTGATTAGTATTTTAGAATTTAGTACAAAATGTATTTTATAGCACTTGTCAAATTTATTTATACTTGTACTTCATATTTCAAAATTGTAAACTTGTACTTCATATTTCAAAATTGTAAATTTGTAGTTGTAGTTCAAATTAATTTGTAAACTTGTACTTCATATTTCAAATAAATATGTGTTCACTTTTTCATATGTAGCACTTCTCAAATTAATTAATTGGTTACAATCTAACGACTTAAAATTATTTTTCTAAAATATAAAGCCGGTTTTTAAATTAAAAATACATTTAGAATATGTAATTTGTTTAAATACTTATACACCTATTTTGTAACATTTGTTTTAGTTTTACTTAATTCATTAAATTAATTAATTTATTTTACAATATGTGTATAACTTAAAAAAAAAAAAAAAATTTCAAAGCTCCCAAACGGCTATATAGCCGTTGGGGCTATGGGTGGGGGGCAGGGGGGTCCCGGGGGTGGTGGTGTGGGGAGTGGGGTTCAAAAACACCTATAAATACATCTATTTTCTAACATTTTTCTACACCTTTTCTCCAATTCTTCTCAAACTCTTCTCCATCTTTATCTTCTCTTATTATCCTACATTCCTACTTAATTACTTATAGTGTTATACATATACCATTTTAAATATGGAAAGTACATCTTCTCTTATGCAAAACAATTTTGACAAGTGGAAGGACCCGAAGACCGGACTGTGGTGGGCAACTTGCAGGTGGTGCAAGAAAGACTGTTGCTTGGGGCGTTCATACGGATACGGGATGCCAATAAAACATATGAAGTTCTGTGACAAAGGGAAAACAACAACCAACGGTGGCGGAAATCCCAATTGATATTCATTACAATTTACAAAATGTATTTCGTATTGTTATTTTTTTCTCAATTCTCAAATGTAGTTCTTATTTCAAATAAATGCACTTGAACTTTGTTTTTAATAGCAATTTGTATAATATATAATTAATATAAAAAAAAAAATTATTGACCCGGCCCGGCCCGGCCCGGCGGGTGGCCCGACCCGTGACCCGGGCGGGTGACCCGGCCCGAACCGGAACCGGTCATTGACCGGGCCGGTCCCGGGCCTACCCTTATAGGACCCGAGGCCCGACCGGGCCTTGACCCGGCCCGGGCCCGACCCGGCCCGGGTCCATGCCTGCCATGAAGGCATGAAGTGACGAAACCATTGTTATCACTGCAACCACTACCTGTCTGCCCCTATCATTGTCGTAGGTCGTAACTACTTGTGAGTTTGATTAGTTTTTATTTTTATATATAATTGTCAAATGGGTGATATAAAATTCAATTTATAATTTGATTAGTTTTTATTTAAGTAAATCGAATGTGGTGTATTATTGTGGCTCTGATATTCAATGTCTAAGATTTCAAGAACATGTTTCAAAATTAATGCATTTCAGTTTTAATCATAACTTACAAAGTTACCCCCAAATATTAGTAGACCCAGTTCCAATTCTAGAACTAACCGTGACACAGAAGATAAATCACCTGGACCGGAACTAGACGGGTATACGGTATACCTAGACAGAACCAATTTCTTTGGAACCGGACTTGTATAGCCTTGTGAGTTGTGACTGGAGATAGACCCTACTCAGAAATTTCTACCCCTACACTTCAGAGAATGTGGAAAGTAATTTCTACTATTGATATTAAATAAACTAAAAATAAGTGTTGGTTCTACAACCGTACCGCATCATGCAGTATGATCATTGATATTAATATCTCAACCAGAACAAACTTTGTTTAGACGATTGAGTATCAAGTCGCGGAAATATATTCAAATATAGTGAGCTATATATTTTAGTTGAATTTTTTAACATGTAACCGTGGAGGAGCTGGGGAGGGGCATGAGGGGGCAAGCGCCCCTGCTTCGGGCAAAGTTTTGAAGTACTACGTAGTACTACTTATAATATATTTAATGCCCCTATTTTTTCAAAAAGAAATATCAATTATGGATAATTTTAGATGTGTAGTGGTGTATAAAAATTTCTAGAGAAGCTTCCCATTTATATGAGAACTTTGAGGAGAGATCTTGAGTGAGTGAAAGTGAGAGTCTCCTTGAAAGAGGAGAGTGAGAACCTTCTTGTGAGAGAAGAAGGCTCAAAGATATTGTTTGATGAAGTGTATGTGATCAAGTTAGGTACAATGAATTATTCTCATATACAAAAAATGAGTGAGGGTAATACAAAGTGATATTGTGAGATTGAGTTTTGTATTATAAGCATGTGGATATATAAGTGTACAAGAGTCTATGAGCTCGTGATCTTGGAAAAGGATGGATATCGTGGTTTTCCAACATAAAGTTATTATACAACATTTTGAACAAATTGAAACTCCCATATTTGATCTACCGAGATTAAGATATGACTGAAGCAGTATGTTATGAACTAATTTGTGCTAATGTGTTACGCCTTTATTGTTTTTATTATATTTTGAACAAACCCACAAAATTCTTAGCCTTCAGTATGCCCCCGCTTCGAAAAAACTCTAGCTCTGTCACTGACATGTAATACAAACTATTATGTGTATGCTAAAGTAATCTAATTACAGATTACTTCTGGTTTGGTTTTATATCATACCACACAAGCAATTATACAGTTGATATTATTAATAGATATCTGCCACCTGTGATTGAAGAAATGTGGCTTGACTCATATATTTCTATTAAATGGCAAATGATATGCCAACCTAGCAACAGATTTTCAAATGACCATCTTCTGTACCCACCATAAAGAGCCGGGAGAAGGGCAGAATGCTTATGCTCGACAACACAGACATGTTTCTAGATTCCCCATCTCCCATGTATAGATACTGAGGAGTAATTGCATGTCTCTCATCCTGTAAATATTCAACCATGCATCAATATAAATGTAGCAGTTACATCAAAATAACCATCAAATCAATGCCCCCCTCCCCCCAAATTTATATGTTTGTTCTTTGGATGATGTGTGGATTTGGATTGGGTCTGTTCTTATTTACCCTCCCATTACTTTTTCACAATCAGATTTGGAAGCAGATGGTAATGGGAGGATATGAAGGAAAAATAGGACATCAAAATTAGCAGAAATTTTTCTGTGACTTGAATGGAGAGAAAAAAAAAGCAACCTTTATACTTAACATACTACGGAGTATATAATTTTTTTTACACGTTAATTCAGTTCATTAAATTTGGCCTTTTAAGCAATAAAGAGAGTAAATATTTAGGGTGGATGAAAAAAAAATGGTCCACTTTGGACATCGTGACAGTTACATATACGTACTTCAACTGCAAAGCTGGCTAAAGAAGATAGCCCAATCCTATTTCTGGATATTGAGATCACATCTTGTCCCCAAATTGAGAAATTGGATACACCATCACTGTGACCTCTAAAAATCAAAGGTGTAGATGTCCAGTTCCTGAAAGTGAAAGCAAATGAAAAAGGGTATTACTCCCCCTCTGCTAATTAGGAAAAAGAAAGCCACAAACATAACACATTGCTGTGTGGAAACCCTATAAGGCTAGAAGAAGTTCATTCAAGTTTTTAATTATATTTCCTTTGATCAATATTCAGAATGGAAAGTGGCAACAAATACCAAGTGGGCGATAAGCATCCAAATGCATAGGATCTTACAAAATTAGAAGCAATCATAAACTTAGTTAACCACTATAGTTCAATAAAATACATAAAAAAAACATGCAATATTATTGAACCAAGATGATGTTAATTTGGAGGAAATCATAAAAACTTTGATAAACAAATGGGGAAGAAACAAATATGCCCAGGAGACATTTCAATACAAATTTTCAATATTTAAACAGGCTGAAAAGCATAGTCAGCAGAGTGAAAGTGTTACCTTCTCAAATCCCAAATTTTTAAGGTCCGGTCAAGGGAGCTTGAAACAAGTAAATGTGCCTCTGGTGAAGCTAACTGCAGGCATATAACACACAATTATGTGAATGAGGTTATATGACAATTTCTTATACACAAACCTAAGAAACACTCCATGGTACCTTTGTCACAAATCCATCATGGGCCTGCCACGAGGCAATAATATTACCACTCCTCAGATCAAACAACCTACAATGACCAGAACTTTGTCCTGCTGCAATCCAGGATGGGAAGTTAGTTGTTCCATCAACTTGACTTTCATTAGAACCACATGCACATATGGATGAAGTTAGGGAAGGAAAGTTGGACTCAATAGCCTCACTTCTCCAAAGGTGAAGCTTTTGACCTTGGCTGACATCAATGAATCTACAATGCCACAAAGCACAAGAGTAAACAAGCTGTAACCAACCATTGTATTAGCACTGTGGTTACCGAAGAGAACCAGGCCAGGGTGTTGGGAAGAAAAGCACCTACCGAAGAGAACCATTCCCAGTACCCACTGCAAGAATATTAAGTAATTCCAAGTAATGCATACTGGAGTACAAACTACCATCAAAGGCAGTGTTTAATATTCCACTTGATAATGGGTTGAAATGGAGAGTGTTTGCCTGATCTAGATTTGACTTTGACGCATTTGATGGAGGCCTTTTAAGATCCTTTGAGTTTGAGAATTCAGAAAAAACCGAAGCCAATTTCCCGGTTTGTCCATTCCAAACATGTACAGTCCCATCACAAGAAGCTACTCTACCGGAAGACGTCAATATACAAATATCATTCACAACCTGGAAGAAGATGGAGAATAAAATGGAATTCTATAATGTGTAATTTTATCCCTATTAAAAATTAGTTGTGCTGAATGTTAATAACATAGGTCAGGTTCAAAGCAAACAACTATTAAAATAGCATCAACAACAGTAAGATAAATGAAGGGCACCTCTTCATGGCCATAGTAGCCAGAAACAGGATCCACCCTCGAAAGCTCCCACTTCTGAACTGTTCCTTTGAAACCTGCAGCAACTCCTGCTGTAAAAATTCTGCATTCGTCTTGGCAAACTGCTATAGATCTTAGCGCACCATGATGTGCTCGAACAGAATGGAGAATTGATGCTCTGATTTTCCATGGAATTTCATCTTTTGGGCTTCCATGGCGGCCACTTAGATCGGGCCTCCAGGAGCTAGCCGTTGGACCAGGGAACCAATGCCAAGGTTCAAGAGTACCAAAATCAAAGCTCCGGGTATGCCTCTCTCCAGAGCTGTGATGATGATGAGACAGAATTTTGTTTGGAACTAAGTTTTTCACACTTCTATGCCCTTGTGATTGCGGTGTTGACCACCCAGCCCCATTAAGCAGAACTTTAGCAGGGGTGTAATCAGATACATCGCCAATAGTTGGTTGTCTCGCATATGTACTTTCTGCACAACTTCGAGCAGCCTCCAAGCCGGATTCCCACTGAAGTATATGAATTCATAAGGCCAGATGCATAAAGAAAAATAATATAATTCATTACATGAAATATAATTATGTCTAATACTCTAATATATGGTCAACAACTCAACAATGTCATGCTTTAGGAAGGTTTTGCTGCATATAAACCTATACCAATAATCCATACTTTTACACTTCAAGTATTCGCTAGTTATAGTACAGATGATTAAAAAAGAATGGACATTTGTTTGCAGAATGTCCAGATTACTTCAAAAGAAAATTCGGCAAGAAGCGATAAAAGAGGTATTGGACGGACCCTGGCTTGGAACCGCTAGAACATTAGAAAGAGGTGTCATACAGAACCCCATCTCAGAACCATTGGAACCTTGGTCCAGAATGAGCAGTTCCACAAGTCAGTTACAAATATTTGTTAATGCATGGTGATGGTGGCAAGAATGAAGACACAGACGCATGGCAGACCAAATTAGGTTTGATCAATTATGATTTAATGAGATTGGTTTTGATTTCATGTCTTTCTTTAAGTATTTGTGCCCCCTTCAAATACAGCTTCTGAATGTAATTGTTAAGCGCACAGGTGCATGATCTTGTCCAAGGCCGAACTCTAGAGAAAAGATGATGAACTGATATGAAGCCCCGAACCAACCCATGGGATTCGGATCAGCTATTAATGAGAGAGGATTTCAAACTACTCCTTTTATTGAATTAATCCGAGTCTTACCCACTCAAGACACAATAAATTCTCCAAAAGTTCAATAATCAACATTCAGGACACTTATACTGTTATACAGCTATTACAAGAGACTTCATCATAGTACGAAAAGTTGAACTGTAAGACCATTATAACAGGAAGCTTATTCTAAAATTTCTAGAAAATAATATTGCTAACTATTTAGGGAAAAATTAACACAAAGAATAATTTTTAATTTTTTAAAAGGGATAATTTTCCTGATAGGATTACTCTTCCGGCATGCAGGGGCGGTTTTGGCAGGAGCAAATTTCTCCATGACGGCCACAAAAGCCTTCATTACCTTGGAGGACTGGAATAGGCTGCTGACGTTGCATTTCTCTGGGTGGCCATGTTTACTTTTAAATTTCAATAAAATAAAAGTAAAAAACACAACCAAGAAAAGATGAAACTCTAAACCAACATGTGCAGTGGGTTCCACTCCTCCAATAAATATTCTCTGTTTTAAGGAAGAAGATTAACAGCTTGTTTGGCAGAATAATGATGCTTGGGAGATTTAAACTGATTGGCACTCTGCATTGACCCCTTACTTCTCCTCATTTAGCCAGGTATAGAAAAAATAAATTGGAACAGGTCGGCAGGAAGAAAGGGCCTGGACACCAAATGGTTAAGTGCACGTGTACATGGGTCAAACAAATCTAGAAAACGGAAGATAGGAAGAACCAGTAGGAAGTTTTGAACCAATCCGTGGGATTCAGATCAGCTATTATGAGAGGAGAGAGAGATTTTTGAACTACTCTTAAATTTGAATTAATTGGTGCTGGACCTAGTTAAGACAAATTAACTCTCCAAAAAGTTATTTATTAATCAATACTGAGAACCCTTGTATTGTGACTAAAAGAGCCATAGTCGCAATTGCAAACAAGGAATTTTAAGACTGTTATAAGTTAGTAATTACTCATCTTAATATTAGTTTCACAGTTATAAGTTATAACTATGAAACTAATACTAATATTACTAAATACTAATAGGAAACTACTAATGAAGGAAAATATTCCCAACCCTACTAGGAATAGCCTAGGCCAACTATAGCAGTAATGGAAAAGAAAGTATCATGATGCATGCGTAATTAAGAAAAAAAGAAACCTAAAAACAATCTTCTTTGTTTCCGGTTGATCAAGTAAAAATCTAATATTGTAGTTTCCTTTGCTTATTAAAAACAAAAAATGACAATCCCTTATAGTGTGTCATATTATTTGTAATGGACTTACAGTAGGTCATAAGGTACAAAAGTTTTCCCATAAATTGTATAGCTCATCGTTTTTTTGTGTGTATTGGATCTCACCCCTTACAGGTTGTTACGATCCTATGATTCTATCTGGTGGTGCTGATTGCTACAACAGGTGTTGTAGGGCTTCATCACTTCTTATTTTGCATTAGGAAAACAAAGCACAGGTAAATGAGAATGTGTACCTTCCAATTATAATTCCGTAAAAGAGACTGTTCTATTATCAACCATGTAGTACAGCATTGGCGGAGTTTCTCAATACCCACAATAGAAGCAAAAGATGGATACAGAACCGACCTACAATGATTTAAGTTATACACATCACATGTGTAACATATAACACCATCAACAGAAGACCCATCACAAGACTCCAGCATAATAGATTTATTCTCTACATTAAAGATATGCAATCAGAAAAGGAGCTTACACAATGTCAAGGCAGATTCCCTTATTAGTGTCTTCTCCTATCTGTACCATGGATTCTTTTAGTTTTTCTCTCTCACTTTCAGAATAATATATCTTCTCCTGGGAGAAAGCAAGGTCATCAAATAACTCTTTGAGTGTTGGAAGGACATGCAATGCAGTTAAATGGGGTCCAATTTGTTGAGAAACTGCAATGAAGCTTCTTGATGTGACCTATCAACAAAAGAACTCTAGTGTTAAGTTCTAACTTTTCTGCACTGTAGAGCAATTGGTGAAACTCTGGAGACCTATTTAACTGAGACTCAATTTGGAGAGCATAGATGAAACTTTGAAATACCTCAAGCACCTGAGTACACATATTTCCCTGCAAGAGAATCTGAAGATATAGGCATTTTCCATCCTGCATAAGTTCCAAACATTATTAGATGCTGCATAAGTTCCATTTTCTACTCCGTATTCATTTACATTTTTGAGTTTCATACTTCAATGAGCTCTTTAACAATCGTGTCCTTTCCCAAAAATGGAATCAGACCATCTAAAGTGGTGAGGCAATCCATTAGAGCTAAAGCACTCCAACTCTGGATTGGTTCAGGCTTATTCACATGTGAATTATCAATGCAACAATGGATGGTGTTTCTTAGTAATGGAAGAATCTGTTTGACGATAAAATTTTCTCCACTAAGACAACCTGAAAGACGAGAAGTGCACATTATCTTTTAAGTTGAAGAAGCATATGTCTTGAAGTGACATTACGATAAATTGAAGCAGTAAATACCAATTCTAACCACGACGTCAGTTCCATTCTCACAAATCCCTTTGCCGAAACAGTTAATGAGAGGCATAATGGTCTGCAGAACAAACATTATTGTCATACAACTTGAAAATGAGAGTAAATTGTTGAATAATACGACTCTTGTTAATATGCAACTAACAACTTACAACTCAATTAATTTTTTCAACATGCTTATACAAGGAATTAATGAGGGTAAAAGTATTGGCAGAAAATCCCAGGAATTATAAACACAGGGATACTTCTATGTTTATATATATTTCAGCTTAAGTCTCCCTACCCGGGTGGGGAGCAGGTCAAATGGATTTCATAGACTTACAGAAGAAAATGAAAATGAAACACTTGAACCTGATGAACTGTAATTGGTACGCCGAGCTCTTCACTAGAACTTATTAGTAGAGCTGAGGCAGATGCAGCAGAAGCCTTCTGGGGATTTCCGGACAAGTTTGATATCACTAAAGGATGTAACTTCTCCAAATATACTTGCTTCCCAATTCTGTCCCAAATTTCCTGCACAAATGAGACTTGAAGAATAGAAACCTTCAAGTGCGAAGGACCGACAGCCTGCACAAAGAGAACAACTTAGTACAAGCGAAGTGTAAAATGATAAGAGATCTAAGTAGAGAGGATACATTAAAAAAAATCACAAGTAAACCAGCCTGTAGAATCTTCTGGATAGCAGGTATAAGTAACTTCTTTATTGCTATTGGATCCAGACACCTCAAAAGTTCAGTGAGTATTATATAACCCCATTCAGCTTCATCGTCTGTTAACGGATTCGTCAGTAACTTCAAACAGTTGGGAGCACACATTTCAGAAGCAAAAGGACCCATTGCTTTAAAGGCTCCATGTATTGCGAAAGTTGATGCATAACGTAAACGTGATTCATCTGTTGCTAGAAGCTGAAGGGGTGCAAGAAACATGTAGGAGGCCATGATAGTTGGGGGGAAATATGGAGATTCCAAAAGACACTTTGCAGAAGGCCTCCTGATTGCGTGAAGAGGTAGACACTCATTAAGACTCCATATATCCTTTATACACACTATTAAGCTTTTGGAACATGGAACCAATGAAGAAAAAATACCTCCTCCATTCCTTTTGAATACAAGCTTCAATAAATACACGAGTTTCAGGGGGGAGTTCCTGCATCAGTATAGGAAAGCAACCACTCTCCAAGTACGCACCCAATGAGGTTGGATCAAAGAGTGGTCTTCTCAGGTGCAGTTCTGCTAAGATGCAACCAACTGCAAATATGTCATCTGAAGCGTCCTTGGTAGTATTTGAACAAGTAGATTTTTGTCTCCATAGAAGTAACTCTTGGTATCCCACAGATGTGTCATCACCAACTTCAATTTTCTTAAGAAGGTAATTGATATCAGTAATTTGAGGCATGATGAATTTGCTAGTATGGTCATCTGGCCTGGAATTCATGTATGATGGACTCTCAGTTGAGTGCTTCAGTACGGAGCAGTCAGTTTCTATAGCATCATTTAAGTGTGGGTAATAGAGGGGGCTTAACACCCTTGAATGCTCACTGAATGAAGCCATATCCTCCAGTTCTTGCAAAAATGAAGCTCCCCCTGCCACATCACTTACAGGCTTCTCGCACATATTTGAACCATATGCCAGGTCACAAGTTCGTATGTTATTAACACGTCGGTGAGGATGTGGTTGGGAAAAAAGTTGACGTCGCCCCATTGACCTTGGTATTGTGTGTGTTGATGCAGGTAACATCACATTCTTAGCCGCTACAGCAGCTGAGCCAGACATTTTGTAGCCAAAGGTAATATCAATCCAATTATGAATTTGGCGTGAAACTCTATTACTTTCTAAAGCATTCCTGTGCAACTTGATGAAATTCTCAGGAGTACCTGCCCACGAAGGTACTGCCAAATCAGACATACCAGGATGAATGGAATGAAAGATTTGTGGATCACAGTAAAATTCTGGAATGCACTCATCAGGTGTCCATTGAAAAAGTCTTTGCATGTTTGAAGGATACTCATTTGGTTCATAAACTGAACGAACAGCCATTCGCAGAACACTTAAAGGTAATCTCCTTGCCTTGTAACTGCAGACAGCCAGTTCAGACAAGCACTCATCTGACACGTGGTGTGGGGTTTCAGATGTTGAATATGTAAAGTCCAACTGTTCATCACCCTTTGCGAGCCGCCACTTACTCTTACTCAGATCTCGCCATCCAGCATCATTATTCTCATCCGGGTCTACACTGAAATCAACTACCCATGGCATGACAGTATAAAATGCATGATCACCCCATCTTCTCCCAGCTAATCTGTTCAAGATTAGGAGATACTCAAAGTTACTAAGTTCACCCCTCCACCATCTATAGAAGCTTGAATGCCAATCTTTATAATGGGAAAGCCTCAAATCAGCATGAAGTCCACGTGAAAAGCATAAGTCATAACAGCTATTTGAAAGGGATGTGCATGCCTCAACTGTTGAGCTTGAAGAAGAATGTAAGAGAAATTTATCCGCAATTTGCAGCCAGCACCATGAGAAGTCAGACAATGATATGCAAGATGGAGAGAGATTGCCGTGGGCAACCCCTAAACTATGCATGTAAGAGAGTACAGAAAGTAATTGGTAGATCAAAAATTTTATATGCCAATCAGATTTAAAAGCGTCTGGGCTGTAATTTATGGCATTTTCCAAGGAATGACTAGTTTTTGGAAGCACCAAACTTATATGACTTGATGTCTTTAGTAGTCCCAAAACTGGTGATAAGTTGGGATGCCTTAGGCAACCAGGAAAGGTACTCTCACTGAATGAAGGTATCCCAAGAAGACTAAGAAAGTTCACACAATCTCGTCCAGTAGCTTTACCGTCTATCAGACGAGTAAGAGAATACAAAATATGGTCTTCAAGAGACCCAGACAAGAAGTGGGAAACAATATCTTCAAACAATGTGTTGGAAGAAACACAAATGCGAGCAGCTGGAACCAGGGCAGTGAGAATCCTGAAACAAGAAAACCTACCAGAAAATTTGCAGGGAAACTTTACACACTCTAATCCATACAGGGATGTATTTCTGCAACCTTTCAACATACCCTGGATTTCATTTGATGTGTTATTATCTGATGAAGATGATTTGTCAGCGGAAAGTCCAATTCTAACCTCTGCTTGATCTGTATCTTTTTCTATGGGAATTGCATTGTGTTTGCCCAATTCAAGATCTTGAGGACAATGCTCATCACTGCCCAAACTCCAAAACATGACAGTAGCTGAATTAATCTCATCAGTATGAATACAAGCAAATACCAAAATTTTCAGTATAAGCAAGTTGTACAAGCTTCTCTTTCAATCTACTGATAAGGATCACACATGCATACACACATACATATATGTAGTTAGATGTTACACTTGGAACCAATCACGTCATGAATGCAGATACTAGAATATTCATTTCGAAAAGCATGTTTCGTTAAGTGCTTAAGAACAAAATATTAACATACATGAATTTGGCCAAGCAATTGCCTTTTTGGTACGGCACATATTTGACTACAAACTCAGGTGATGATTCTGTGCCTGAACTTGCGAGCTGCAACAAGGTTAAACACTAGTAAGAAAAACAATACAGTAGATTGGTCGTAGACAAACTCTACATTATACATTTGAGGGAGTACCCGAACAACGGCACCGGACCCAAAGGGTAGATGCGAATCGGAGAGGCCATAGCAAAAGATGAGCTGCTCCGACAGGTCCTCTCTGATTTGCTTCTGCAGGCAATCGAAGCAAATTGGGTTTCCCATTAGTTCCGTCTGTTCGCAACGGAGGAAAGTGTCTCCAGTTTTCCAGGTTTCTTTGCTGCTTGTGGGCGAGTAGTATATGGCATAACCCCAGAAACTCTGTAAACAGTAGTATAATTCGATTGATTGCGATCAGGAGATTTGCTGATTTGGTATGGTATGCTGTATCAGTCGGGCCGAAGGAAGTTAGGTTCGGTTCAGTTTGTGCACATGAATTATAAATGGTTAATGGTTCACTTAGTTCGGGTTCCTAATTCTACAAAAATAGGACAACGGAGTCGTTAGAGAACCGTTATTATAAAATAAAGAAATGAAAGTATAACTAGTAATAATAATAACAATAATAATTATTATAGTAACAATAATAATTATTATAGTAATAATAATATAATTGATGACATTTGATCACACACAAATTTTATAGAGCCAGATGAGGATGAATGCATCAACCTCATTTTTAAAAAAAACATATTTTGTTCCATCATAGAAATTTCATAATTATAAAAGTAAAGCAAGTTAATTCGTGTTGGCTCGATTTTTTTCTTTATAATATTCAAGATGATTGTAATAGTGAGATTTAGTGTAAATAATACCCCTAGGATTTGAAATGTAATGATGTTTGTTTGTATTTGTACTTGCGTATTCAATATGTTTTTTACGTTTGAGGAATTTGAACTAGACGCCTTATTCTACTATGATGACCCAACATTTATTGATATCAAACAACAACGATTAAGTGTTGTTTACAAGCAAAATTTAGAAATTATTTTATTCTATTAAGTGTTGAATAAATTAAGTTTGGACTTGATGCTTGAAATGATAAGAGCTTCAAAAAGTACTTATTGCTTGTGTTTTGAATTTTCGACGTTTTTGTGTTGTAGAAATTAAATTGTGTTATTTTATGAAAAAAAAATTATGTTTAGGAACCGATAAAAGTAAGAACAGAACCATTTACTATTGGTTCGGATCCATAACGGTTCTTGAAAATTTAGATAAGAACCGAAGCGATTTAATTGATTAAGTTTTTTGTGACGATTTCACCAATTTCATGTAAGAACCGAATCGATCTTGAGGCTAGATTTAGCTAATTATCTAATAGAAGTAAATATGCGTTAAAATCACAAATAAAACTATTGTTTTAGATTTTCTAGATATAATTAATCATATACGTTCAAAAAAATACAATTAATCATGTGTGTCTGAAAAAATATCTACCGAGGCATTTTGGGCCACCGGCCACCGTTCACCGCCTAGCTGGCGGTGGCGCAGCCAGCCCCCGCCACGGGATTGCCCTTCCACTGCCGGATCGTCCTGTCATCAACGGATTAATTGCCCATGTTGCTCAAGGGAACTAGGGAGGAATTAAATTAGGGGTATGAAGAGTAGAAAACTACACAGTAATAGTTTGTCCTATTTATGAAAACTAATGTGTGTACCCGTGCGATGCACGGTAATTTTATTTACATTTATGTATGATAGAAATCGGTGAAAATTAACGTATGTGAAATCGCCACTTTTTCTGATCCATTTTGTATGCATGTTGGTGTTAATTTTACGTGTAAATGAAACGTAGGGTCGAATCCCGCAGGGAACGTATTTTGTGTTTAGCCGGTTCTTAGACAAATTCCCGGGTTTCCCGGGTTTGAGCCGATCCGGTTCGTCCTGGGTCAACATGGGTCAGCGGCCAATTCCGGTTTTACGTGTATTTACCGGTTCGTGGTCAACCGGACCGGGTTCGATGCCGGGTCGCAAGTTTCCGGTTCGGCATGCCCGGTCCGGGCCGGTTCTGATTACATAGCTTTCTTATGTGTTATGTCTTAGCTTCCTTGATGTCTCAAAAGTTTTTAAATTCCGTGAACAATATAGAAGTAGAGAAATTTCCTAATATAAGAGTAAACATAAACATAACTAGTGTGTGTACCCGTGCGATGCACGGTAATTTTATTTACATTTATGTATGATAGAAATCGGTGAAAATTAACGTATGTGAAATCTCCACTTTTTCTGATCCATTTTGTATGCATGTTGGTGTTAATTTTACGTGTAAATGAAATATCACTTTTCTAGATCGATTTTGAAGGATGATTTTTTATTTGGTGTGAAAAATATGGTCACTTTATATATCACTAGATTAACTTTAAATATGTGAATTTGTGATTCATCTCTTATTTTGTGAAAGTTAGTATGGTCGAAGGCTTGTTTTCTCTTTTTAACTCAACTTAATTTTTTTGATATGGTATGATGAGTTATGTAACCGGTTAAAATTACTAATGTTAAAGTGTTAGAGTCCCACACCGGAAATGTTTGAAACAATGAAGTGCTATATTAAGACATGTGCTACTTCTCCTGTCAAGTTGACCTTTTAGGATGTAACCCCGAGTCTTAACATGGTATCAGAGCCAAATCGATCCATGGCATGGACCCCCTTATGAAATATGATGACGTGACTATAAAAAAATGACAATGACGAATCGATGAAAAAATGAATGATGACACGATCCAGACGAAGTGTCTGGTCGTGATGAGAGGGGTGTTGAATTCCCACACCAGAAACGTGTGAAGGAATTAAGTGTTATATTAAAATCTGGTTTATTTCTCCTATCAGGTTGACCTTTTAGGATGGAACCCCGGGTCTTAACATGGTATTAGAGACAAATCGATCCATGGTGTGGGCCCCCTTATGAAAAATGACGACATGATTATAAAAAAAGATAATGACGAACCGACGAAAAAATGAATGATGACACAATCCATACGAAGTGTTTGGTCGTGAGGAGGGGTGTTAGAGTCCTACACCGGAAAAGTTTGAATCAATGAAGTGCTATATTAAGACATGTGGTACTCCTTCTATCAGGTTGACCTTTTAGGATGAAACCTCGGGTCTTAACATAAAGTCTATTTCTCATTTTAATTAGAAATATTTATTGAGCAAGTCTTTTTTAGATTTTTTTGCATAAGGAGACGTTGTTAGTGAAAATTTTGTATTCGTATAAGTTATGTGATGGCTGAGTACATGACTTAATGTGATAGTAAACTATTTCTAGCGTATACTAAATTGGTCAAATCATGTGTGCTAAAATTATTATTTTATTAGTATAGTAGTGTTCATAAAAAAAAATTAAAGGTACTATATGACTTTGCACCCCATGTTTTTGACAATATTGTTGGACATGCATTATATCTCACTTTTAAATTACTATTGTGTGCACTCCATTAGCCCAAAACTTGTGAATGTGTGGGGTGAAAAGTGAAATGATTTTACGATGAATTGAGGTGCATATATTAATGATTTTGAAAATAGGGTGTAAAATCCAACATCACTCAAAATGGAATGTAATGCAAAATTCCTCCTTATTAAACGAGAGTATAGATTTTATATATATATAAATTAGATGGGATCAATTCTTTAGTTAAAAATAAAAATCATTGAGAAGATTATCTATGCGGCATTCATGGAAGAACGAACGTACCATATGGGTATGTATGGCCTTGTGGTTGTATATTTTTTTATTTTGTTTGGTTGCTTAATACTGATAAATAATTAGAAATGTTGTATTTCTTGCTCTAAAATTGGATGATGGGTTGTTTTGGAACGAATTTTTCTAATATGATTTGCTCTATTTAAGTGTGGTCAGATATGATTTATTTAAATTTGGATTGATCCGTTTTGGTAGCTCGACTATTTTGATATGTGTATTTTAGCTTTTTTGCTACTTTTAGTCATCTGATCATTATGTCAAACATACTTTTAGTACTTCGCTTTGAATTATCTATTTTTAGTCACTTGACTATTATGCGAAATACATTTTTCGTATTTGTCTCTGAAATTTTGTATTTAATCATTAGACTTTAATAAAAGTTATAGTTTTTATCCTCTAACTATTATCATCATGTCATTTTTGTGTTTTTCACTTATAGTGGCAAAATCATAATGAAGAGACTAAAAATGTCAAATTGACAGCGATCAGGCTAGAGACTGAATTAATTTTGAAATCTAGGAGGCCGTTTGACAACACTGTTTTTGCGGCTTATCAGCCAAATTGTTCACCAAACATGTAACTTTTGCTTTCGCGCGCTGAATTGCGTGATAAGTAGAAAAGTAAGGTTAGAGTTACTTTTCTGGCTGTATTGGTTGAAGTTACTGTAGATGATCATTTTAGCTATTTTTACATGTAATTTTTTCTTTATTTTATTAATAATATATATTTTAAAAATAATTTTTTCTTAAATCAACTGATCCGCCAATGCAGTCACTTCAGCCAGAACTTCATAACTTTCAGCAGAATCAGCCAAATCAACCGATTTTCGTGCTACCGAAGGTAAATGTGGTGGTAAATAAACGTTGGCCGATCATTGGAAACTGAATAGGTTGATATTATTATGTCATTTATGTGGGAGTGTGGGACGTTTATTTATTAATGGTGCTATTAATTTGATGTTCTTTAATTAATTGCTATGAAAATCCCTATGATGTCGACAAATGTTAAATTTTTCTTGCACATGACACGTCAGTGTTCTTTCATTGATTTTGCCACATGTCCAAGTTCCTTACAATGAGTTTTGCCACATGTCAACAATTCCTCTATAAGTTTCTCTGGAGGTTTGCTTTATTATATTATATAGATTTTATATTTTAATTTTATTTATGCAATTATGTTTCCAATTAATTCAATTTAGGGTAATTACTATTTCTTTCATTTCTCTCTTTCAAATAATGAAAGTCCTTTTGTAGAGTGCATGTGTAAACGCTATATCACATAATTCATTTTTGTTTTTGTCACAAATAGTCTGTCACTTACAAATTCATCTTAACATATAACAAAATTATGTAATTCCCAGACTCAAGGGCTCCCATGCCCTGACCCGACAAGGCAATAGGAGGTTGTAAATCATGATGACTCAGTCAACCGCATAGCGAGACCTTGTACCCGTGTCACCAGAGATCTAGTCTAGCACACGGGAGCTGTATTTTTCACACGGTCGTTACGGGGTTCGATCTTTGGTCATTCCTCCAATATTCTCACCGCTTGAGCAACTTATTAGCTACATGTGCAGGCACTAGGTAACTGCTTTGTCAAATAGGTAGTACTACCTTCGTCTCCCTAATATTGGGATGGATCATGGAAGGGAGTGATGTGGATTTTAAGAAAAGTACAATTATGTGGTTGATAATGAGTTGATAAAGTGGGATTAAAGTAAGA